GCAGGAACACTAACATCATTAGAGGGTACAGTTTGGCAGCAGCAGGAGAGGTACTGCTGTCTTCCCCACTTCTGACCTGCTCCTGTGGCTCCCCTGAGGCATGTTTTAAATCCTGCCCCTCACTGTATACATGAGGAGGATGAATCTGAATCCTGCTCAACAATCCACCAGCTCCTGGTCAGTAATAAATTGCATGCACAGGGAGTGCCGGACAGACTTTGTGTGAGTGCAGGTGAATTATGTGGTGTCTCTGGAATGTACTGTGTGGCACGTTAAAAGATGACAGCGATGAGTTTGTATATATGCATCTCTCTTGTCGTTCAGTTGAAATGTTCAGTGTTCAGCATTTTACTGTCTTTAATTTTCTCAGGGAATGATGTTCCACCCCTACTCCAAGTTCCAGGTTTTTTGGTTAAAAAAAATACCCAACTCTATGCATGAATAATACGGTTTTGTGTCATTGAAAAGAGAAGCGGAGACAGCAGGGCTCCTGATATATTGGATACAAACACAAGGAGCATCAGGTGTTCAGTACAAATATCCTCTGAAATAATAAACAAATGTTTTGTGTAAATAGCATCTCATTAAGTAATAACATAAGGCTGGAGAACAGTTCAGTTCATGGCTAATGTTGAAAAATACAGCACGGAATGACTGAGTCAGGCAGGCTGACGCTTGGGAATGGGGTCATTTGTTTTGCGCGGTTTTGGGTTTCAGAAGGAGGCCTGCCTGCTGCCGACAGGATGTGCTTATTTTGAATTTGGTTTGCACATAGGGTTCTGGAGAGTCAGAGTGGTATTGTGAGGGGGAATTACCGAAGTGTGTGGTAAACAAAAGCAAGCAAAAAGATGGGAAGCTGTTCATTCCTCATGTGAAAGGAGTTTCAGCATGATTTTCCTTTTGCTGTTTGAGCATTATTAACAAAACCCATAAGTGACAGTACAAACAAGTTTCTCCAGCTTGGTAATAATTTGCTGTTAGATTAGATGGTTGTAGCTGGGGGTAAACAAGGAATCAACATGCTTCTTGTTTGAGCCGGTAGGGAAGAGATGGAGAGGTGAAAAGCAGGATTGCAGGAGACTAAGTAGTGGCATACATTTGAGTCTCAGTTATATGATGTTTGTTGCTCCTGTTGCTAGAGAAGGATGCTGTGCCCCTGAGCTCAAAACCTGGGGAGGAGATGATAAGAAACTTTGTCATCTTCATGCAGTTTTACAGAAGATAAAGTAACTGAAGGACAGGTTGTGAATGGTGTCAGGCTTTTGGTATTTTGTCTGTAGGGCTGTAGAAATCACAATGACTTACTCAGTTCTGTAGTGTTTCTTGATGGTTTTGTTCTTTTTGCAATTTCCCTTTCTTCTTAAACATCGTCTTTTTGGCTTTGCTTTTAGGTAGCTCTGCTTTTCAGGGAATGTCACCTCTTGCTCATCATTCAGCAGCTGTTTTGACATAGCTTAGTAGTTCTCTGAATGCTGCATGGTAGTGTTTTCCTGCCTTAAGAGCAGCTTCTTCCTTTATAGTGTCTTCTTCCTTGGCCACCTTTTTGTGAAAGCATATGGAAGGGCTCTAGACCTGAGTGCGGACGAATGTTTCTTCATTTCCTAATGGCCTTGCACTTTGGCTGGGCTCAGATATTCAGAAAAGTTGAAGAGGAGCCTCATGCTTGTACATAGGACACCTGTATGCCAAGAAATGTCCTTTGTGTGCTGAGTTGTCAGTAGGGCTGTGCTAGAGAAGACCAGGTGTTAGTTCTTCAATGCTTACAAGTGCTCTTTTGCCTGGGAAGTGAGACCATCACAGGCATGAAGGGTGTCTCTCCACCTGAATCGTAGATTCACAGAATGGTTTGGGTTGGAAGGAACCTTAAAGATTATCTCGTTTCAACCACTTGGTTATGGGCAGAGGCACCTTCCACTAGACCAGGTTGCTCCAAACCCGTGCCTTGAGCCTTCCCCGGGTGGGGGCATCCACAGCTTCTCTGAGCAACCTGTGCCAGTGTCTTATCACCCTCACAATAAAGTATTTCTTCCTAATATCTAATCTTCCTAACATCTAATCTAAATCTTTCTGCCCTGTCACTACATGTTCTTGTAAGAAGTCCCTTACTAGCTTTCTTGTAGACCCCTGTTAGATATTGGAAAACTATTAGAAGGTCTTCGCAGAGCTTTCACTTATCCAGGCTAAACAAGCCCAGCTCTCTCAGCCTGTCTCCTTAGGAGAGATGCTCCAGTCCCCTGATCATCTTTGTGGCTCTCCTCTGGACTTGCTCCAACAGGCCCACATACTTCTTATGCTGGGGGCCCCAGACCTGAACATAAGTACTCCAAGTGGGGTCTCATGAGAGCAGAGTAGAAGGCTTGTAGCTTCCTTCTGCTGCATTTCTCCTTACTGTAAAGCTGGAGGGGTTGCTTATAGTCAGCTGGCCTGCCTCATCTCTGTGGAGAATGCTTTTTGTAGTCTCTCATATGGAGAACAAGATTTAATGGTGTCTTCTGACTACTTTTTGAGGATGTGCTTGCTTGGGCCCATGCCTAATGCATGGAACTAGTGCTGATGGTGCTACTTGCAGCACCAGCAACTTGAGAGCTGGGGGTTTGAATGATTTGGGGTTCAAGCTTTGCATTCTGTTCTTGTGATATAACTGCTTATTTTGAGTGAGCTTGTGGAATTACAGAAGCAGCTAAGAAACTGTCTAAGAAAATGGTGGAGCGAGAAAATGAGACAATTGCAACTGCTTTAGATAAATGTGTCAACCTCTGCAATCATTAGGCTTGGCACGCTGCATGGCTAATGCACCATTCGGCATAAAGCTAAGCTGGGCTTTTCAGGAGCAACACGGTATAAGGTCCAACCAAAAGACTGGCCCTTCTGCAGGTAACGTTAGAGCCAGTGAGGTGGAGGCTGCCTCTGCCTGCACCGTGATGCCAAAAGCAGACCCAGAGGTGCATGGCAGAAAACTTCCATGCCTGCAAGCCTAGCTGGTACAAGGCATGTGACTGTGCATCTCCAGCACCAGGCTAGGGACCTACCGGTCCTTAGGACTGGTAAAATGTAAAAATGTAAACGTATCTCTGCGTGCTTGCTTGTGCCTTGCCGTGTGTAACTTTGCAAGGTGAATAGTTGTATTTAATCCTTGGTACAATTGCTGAAGTAATCTGTTCCATGACAAGAGTGGCTGCCGCGGTCAGTTGGCATCAGCTGGCTACTAGAGTCCCAGGAAATCATGTTTTTCCTCTCAAGTGCCTGCAGACTTCAGGCTAGGGCTTTTATTTCACTCCTGCAGGAGCATTTTGTGCTGCCTCCTGGAAGGACATGAACAGAATAACTCACAGGCCAGTTTGCCCGCTAGCAGGAAGGGAGACGGTTTACTTGCAAGTAAAAGTGTGAAGTTGAAAAAAATACTGTTTTCTGAGAAGTAATAAGAATGTTTACACAGCAATAGGATGAAGGAAAAAGCTTATCAATGGAAAAAGACCTAATGCACATCTGCCATTTTTTGTGGGATGGTGTCGAAGGTACTAACTAAAGTGTCTTTTGATTAAGATTTTGTAGGTTTTGTTTTAAATATGTATGCGCGAAATAATCAGCATATGTTCTGCAGGCTGGGGTTTGTGACAAAATAAACTGGGTTATAAAAAGTGAAAACTAACATTTTTCCAGCATAGGTTGTTTGGTTGTTTGTTTTTCTCTAATAGTTTGGTATAAGTTCCCCTCCCCCCCCAGTAGATTTTTAGGTGTCTCTCTTGTAGGTTGAAAGGTCTAGATTTTTTTAAAAACTGATTTCTCCTGTCCCATGCCCCCGAGTGTTAATTAAACTGGTCTTTGTCTTATTTGATCTTCCAGGAGTTTTAAAGTTTTAATTTCTATAATTTATTTTTGTTTTCCAGGTCAGATGTACAATTGCCTGTAAGTATCGTACTGTTGTTCAGTTATGGCTTTATTGGTTTATTTTTTTTTTTAGAACTCTTGTTATCTTAATTTCTTTTAAGAAAAAATGAACAGTATCATCTAAGGATTTAAAAAAAAAAAAAAACCACCAAAAAACCAAAACCAAATAACCCCAACCCAACCCAAACCTGCCTGAAAAAATAGTTAGAAATTTCATTCAAAAAATGTAAACTTGCTAATTTTAGTGACTGTAATTCCTGCAGTGCATTTCAAGATATCTAAAGATACAAATGTGTACTTTAATCCCTTTGCTTTTCAGTTTGTAAAGTTCTGGTAAAGTCAAGAACAGATATAATGTGCTTAGAAAGACTGGAAAGTATACGTAAAGGCAATACAAAACAAAGAGAGACCCTAAAGTGACACTTTAAGGATTTTCTGAAGTGAGTATAGCAACTGCTGTACTTGCTAGATGACACATTCTTTATTTGGGAGAAATTCTCAAAAGTACTTGCAGCTGAGTTCTACCTTAATACTGAACATCAGACTTGCATGAGTTAGCCTTGAAATTTTAGGGCCTGATTCGATTCTCTCCACAGTTTGGGCTGTATTCCATCAACGTAAATTCGTTTTCAGTATGTATACCATGTGTCCCTTACTTGTGGGAACACACTGTGGGACCAGAAGAACTTTTTTGCTGGTACGCTGAGGGGAAGAGACAAAGTTGCCATGCCAGGTTAAGTGAAGCAGCTAGCTTCTGATAGCACACGAGGAAAATATATGCAGAATATGGCTGCAAGTCTGTTCAGTTCCTTTCAAAGAAAACTGCATGGGGAGATAAAAGAGCAGATCATGGTAGCTTTTATCCACACCACGAGTAGAGGTAGTGAATGGCTGAAATAATGTGGCAACCTTTTAATCTAATTCATATCGTCTCAAAGAAGTTAAACATGGTAAACCAAGGAAACGTGCAGCAAAATATCTGCAGGAGAACAAACTGGAAAAACAGAACTGACCATGGTTTCTGCATGAGATCTATAAATGATTATACTTTTGCAAATGGGAAGCCCAGAAATTTTGTAAAGATACTTATTGCTTTGTACTCTTTTATTCAGGCACTAAGGATTGCAACTCAACAAATGAAACTACAGGAACAGGAACCAGTAGTAATGATAATTTATCAATAAATTCTACAAGTGGGAACAAAACCTATGGAGGTGGAAGATGGACCAGGAATGTGTCACTGTCCAACAGGGCATTAAGTGATTCGAACAATGTAACACGTAAGTGGTTTGGAATGTGACTGGGATGTGAATCTTCAGGCTGTTTTCTGTTTTTAGACTGACTTAGCATTTTCAACCTGGACTCTAGTCCAGAGTGCAAAGAGCGTTGCAGGGGTATGCATCCAACTGCCTTACTGGAGTAGGGAATGAGCCAAATAAATGTATCTGCACAGCTGACTGGGAGTGCAGTTTAACACTGTGATTGGCATGTGGCCTTGAAGTATTTTTGCCACTCTTAGACTTGGGCTCCCTTCCCTGCTATTAGGACTTTTCAGGTTACAGCTGCAACAGTTCAAACATAGTGGGACATGCAGATTTGAAATCTATAAGAGTACAGCTGGAGTACTGGAGTACAGGTGCTACTCCATGTAGCTTAGAGGGTGCTGTATCATGTATGTGGGGGGAGAGCTGTGTGAATCTTTTAAAATACTTTTCCCCTTGCCTTTCACAGAGCCCAGCCCAGTCGTTATTCTGAAGGCAGAATATATTGGTGCCACTTCTGTCAACTTATCGTGGGTAGTGAACGACACTGCTTCTGACTCCTACACGTACAGGATAGAGGTTGTAAGTGACGCCTCTGCTAGGAACCTGACGTCCACTGTCACCGAAGTTGAAATCACAGAGTTAGTCCCTGGGACGATGTATGATTTCACAGTGTTTGCAATAGTGAATGGCAGTCAGGCAGCAGAAGGAGTGTCCATAAGCCTGTATACAAGTAAGTCACAGTTTCTTGCAGCCCTGTTCCTGGTGGTCTGTATTTTGCTGTGCAGTACAGGGCTCTGCCTACCTGCCTGAGGATTTTAATTCAATACTACTGCATATAGACCTGATACTTCACGCTTAGAGCCTGATCTGGTCTATATGAAGAGGATGAGGTGTTAGCATACAATACAAACACAGCCCTGATGTTTTTGTTTATTTTCTAATTATCTTCCTTCTCCACTTTCCCCTCCATCCTTGTCTCTTTCCTGCCCACCTCTCCAGGTTTCCAAGGGAAGCCCAGGGAGTCCTGTCAGAGTGATGGCCTGTGCTACTGCTTCCAAGTGTCACAGGGCAATCAGTCCCTCTCAGAATGACTTTTCTTCAGTTTTCTTGTAGCTGACCATTGGTGCAGAAGCCTCCAGGAGCATCTGGTGATGTTGCTGGGGTGCTCCTGCACTCTGAATAATGAGTGATGTGAAGAGGATGAAGTCGTGGTGCTTGTGTGTCTTCTGTGCACGTACGTGAGCAGATGTTCTTGCAGGTTGACAGATGTTGTCTTGCCTTTCAGAGCCCAGCCCAGTTCTTGATCTCAAGGCGGACTATGTTGGTGTGACTTCAGTCAACTTATCATGGGCAGTGAACGACACTGCTTCTGACTCCTACACGTACAGGATAGAGGTTGTAAGTGACGCCTCTGCTAGGAACCTGACGTCCACTGTCACCGAAGTTGAAATCACAGAGTTAGTCCCTGGGACGATGTATGATTTCACAGTGTTTGCAATAGTGAATGGCAGTCAGACAGCAGAATAGATAAGTAAGTCAGAGTGTCTTGCAGCCCTGTTCCTGGTGGTCTGTATTTTGCTGTGCAGCACAAGGCTCTGCCTGCCTGCCTGAGGGCTCTAATACAACACAAACCTTACCTGGGCTGGCTACTAAGAATCAGGTGTTAATGTGCTGAGGAAACATAGCCTATTTTTCTGTTGTTGTTGTTGCTTTGTTTGTTTGTTTTGTTTAAAAAAACCACCAAACCCTGTTTACCACCACCTGGCCCCAAAACAAAAAATGTCCCACAACAACAAAACTAAAAGCAACCAGCCAAAAATCCCCTTTCTTGCCCACCATACTCATCCCTTTCTTGCTCACCTCTAGATTCCTAAGGGAAACGCTGGGAGTCCTGTCAGAGTGATGGCCTCTGCTTCTGCTTCTGAGTGTCACAGGGCGATCACTCCCTCTCAGAATGACTTTTCTTCAGTTTTCTTGTAGCTGACCATTGGTGCAGAAGCCTCCAGGAGCATCTGGTGATGTTGCTGGGGTGCTCCTGCACTCTGAATAATGAGTGATGTGAAGAGGATGAAGTCGTGGTGCCTGTGTGTCTTCTGTGCACGTACGTGAGCAGATGTTCTTGCAGGTTGACAGATGTTGTCTTGCCTTTCAGAGCCCAGCCCAGTTCTTGATCTCAAGGCGGACTATGTTGGTGTGACTTCAGTCAACTTATCATGGGCAGTGAACGACACTGCTTCTGACTCCTACACGTACAGGATAGAGGTTGTAAGTGACGCCTCTGCTAGGAACCTGACGTCCACTGTCACCGAAGCTGAAATCACAGAGTTAGTCCCTGGGACGATGTATGATTTCACAGTGTTTGCAATAGTGAATGGCAGTCAGGCAGCAGAAGGAGTGTCCATAAGCCTGTATACAAGTAAGGAAATGATGCCTCTCAATTGCACTGAATGTGTAGTTTGTACCAAAATTGTGCTGCCTTTTTACTTTGGGTTTCCAACTCTGTGCTATTTGTTATTGTGATGTTGCTTTGTACTAGGTTCATGTGGGCATGAATGCAAGTGGCCTTTGGTAAAAGGGAAAAGGGCTGAGGTTGCACGTGTCACTGTGAGTGCATGTGTCACTGTGAGTGCATGTGTTGCCTGTGAAGCAGTTATTTCATCAGCTTCACTGACCTAGACTATGTAGTACCCAGCTGCTGCCACAGTATGACTTTTTCTACACGTGAGGGCTGAACAGGCACCCTACAATCCTTCCGGGAGGAGGTTATCAGAGCTCACACCAACTGACATGGCATGCAGCGTTCTGGCTAGGATCACAGGGGGCTTCTTGTTCTTGAAGATTATTTTGAGCTCTTTACAAAGCCCCTGTCCTTGGGCTCGTGTGGTCTGTGACAGTGCGTAGGGACACATCATTGAATGTGGTGCTGTTTTTGTTAACTTTGTGCTATGGCACCTTTTTCCCCGATCAGAGGGGGACAGATAGGAGGAGAAGATCTTTTTTTTTTTTTTTTTTTTTGTATCTAGCTCAGAAGTGGAAGGGGAACAGGTAACATCCCTACAAAGCAAATAGAAGCAGTGTGTTCTGGATCTGCTACTGAGTAGATGAGCTTGTCTAAGCTGCCTGAGTTGAGTCTTGTCTGCCTAGTGCTGATGCTGAATCAGGCTTGCAGATACAGCACCTCAGGGTGGGTCAGCAGTTGGAGCTGCTCAAGGAGCCCATTTTCTTCTGCTGATGTTGAGGAGAGGCTGTCTGAAGGGCTCAGGTTAAGATTCATGGGCACGATTTTGAATTAACAGACCAAGATCACCCTCACTCTGCTTCCTTCAGTGATTTCCATCTGTTACTCTCTCTGGAAACCCACTGTGGAAACAAATAATTCTAGCATGTGCAATGAAATAAAATAGAATATAACCCCTGAACTCCTGTGGCCTTTCAAAAGATCCCCCAGCATGAATGTCTACAAATGGACATTGACACTGTAGAAGTACTGTTTTGCTACAAATAATGCTCATTCTATGTAGAATAGGGACATTTTGCTGTGGCTGCTCTTCATTTCTCTGTTGTCACTGATTATTGTCTTGCCTTTTACAGAGCCCAGCCCAGTTCTTGATCTCAAGGCGGACTATGTTGGTGTGACTTCAGTCAACTTATCATGGGCAGTGAACGACACTGCTTCTGACTCCTACACGTACAGGATAGAGGTTGTAAGTGACGCCTCTGCTAGGAACCTGACGTCCAGCGTCACTGAAGCTGAAATCACAGAGTTAGTCCCTGGGACGATGTATGATTTCACAGTGTTTGCAATAGTGAATGGCAGTCAGACAGCAGAAGGAGTGTCCATAAGCCTGTATACAAGTAAGTCACAGTTTCTTGCAGCCCTGTTCCTGGTGGTCTGTATTTTGCTGTGCAGCACAAGGCTCTGCCTGCCTGCCTGAGGGCTGAAATTTAATGGGGCTGCAGGCAGAGGTGATGTTTTGATCCTGGAGATGGCCAGTCTACCAAGCATGGGATATTCAAGTGCATTAGAAGTATTGCCCTGGTGAAAGCTGTTGGTGAAGTTTGTCCCCAAGGCTGGCAATACAGAGACCTCCCTTCTAAATTTGGGACGGAGGTTGTATTAATTTCCTAGAGGATGGGGGCCTCAGATTCTTATTTTAAGGGGCTCCGAGACAGAGCATGTTGTGCCAGGGGACCTTTTTATCTGGGGCCCATAGCTGCTATCAGACTGCAGCATGAGAGTGAGATTGAGGTAGTATTAGTTCAAGAGATATGCTTTGGCCATCCCACACCTTGCCATGTTGAATTGCAGAAGTCTTGACACCTGGTGTTGGAGGGACCATTTTGGAGCTGGCGTGCAGGGCTGTAGCACAGCCTGGTCATTTTAGAGGGTGTATCTGAAAAGAAACAGATGTTTGTCATTTGTGTTGTCCTGAAACGTACCTGCATGTGTACCTTATTTTGAAATGTACCTTTCCAGTTGATTCCACAAGTCTCTCCTGTGCTACCTGACTGTGACGGCTAGTTGCCCTGTTTTGAAGATGCACAGAGTATAGTGTGCTGGAGAGAGGGTCTTTGGAGACGGTCTCTCTGCCATGGGAGTGAGTGCAGGACGCAAGGGTTAGAGAAGGAGCAGGGTGCCTGGGTCATCACCTCTGTTCCAGTGATATTTGATATTCCTTACTTTTTGCTGTGCAGAGATGCACCACCACTGTCTGTCCCCTCCATTCTTCTGTCCTTCCTAACCGTCTCTGGATTGCCAGGGGAAACTCTGGAAGTGCTCCCACTGTGGTGACCTGTGCTTTTTGCTTTTGATTGTGACAGTAAGATGAATCATACTCTTTCTCATTTTTCTGTTACCCAGCCACTGATGCAGAAGCCTCCAGGAGCATCTGGTGATGTTGCTGGGGTGCTCCTGCACTCTGAACAATGAGTGATGTGAAGAGGATGAAGTCGTGGTGCCTGTGTGTCTTCTGTGCACGTACGTGAGCAGATGTTCTTGCAGGTTGACAGATGTTGTCTTGCCTTTCAGAGCCCAGCCCAGTTCTTGATCTCAGGGCGGACTATGTTGGTGTGACTTCAGTCAACTTATCATGGACAGTGAACGACACTGCTTCTGACTCCTACACGTACAGGATAGAGGTTGTAAGTGACGCCTCTGCTAGGAACCTGACGTCCACTGTCACCAAAGTTGAAATCACAGAGTTAGTCCCTGGGACGATGTATGATTTCACAGTGTTTGCAATAGTGAATGGCAGTCAGACAGCTGAAGGAGTGTCCATAAGCCTGTATACAAGTAAGTCACAGTTTCTTGCAGTCCTGTTCCTGGTGGTCTGTATTTTGCTGTGCAGCACAAGGCTCTGCCTACCTGCCCAAGGGTTGAAATGTAACACTGTTGCAGGCAGAGGTGATGTGCTTTGCCTGTCTGCAGGCAGAGTTGTTTGTGTGGAAGAAACATAGTCTTTTAAAACATAAAAAATAAACAGACCCTCTCAAAAAACACCGATTGTTGAAGGTGGTCACCAAGGCCTGTGACACAAAGAAGGAACACTTACTGAGAATCTGCTTGCCTGGCCTAGGATTTGTGGGCAGTTTTGCTGCCTTTCCTTTTTGGAGGATTGTGGCCTCAGATCCGTATTTTGAAGGACTCCCACGCAGGGAAAGGTGGTTGTGCCCAGGGACCTTGAGTGATTTGGGGGCTGTGGCTGCCATTGGGCTGCAGCAGGACAGTGAACTTTAGGCAGCACAAGCTCAGGGGTGAGCTCAGGACATGAATGGTGATGGAGCAGGGTGCCTTGGTCATCACTTTTGCTCCTTTTCCAGTGATATCTGATGTGTTTCTTAATCCTTTGCTGTACACGGATATACCCCCAACTGCTTTCCACACCTTCCCCTGCAACCTTGTATCTTTCCTGACCACAACTCAGAAGAGAAATACTGGGATTGCTGGCACCACAACCTCTGCTTTTGCTTCCGAGTGTCACAGGGCAATCAGTCCCTCTCAGAATGACTTTTCTTCAGTTTTCTTGTAGCTGACCGTTGGTGCAGAAGCCTCCAGGAGCATCTGGTGATGTTGCTGGGGTGCTCCTGCACTCTGAACAATGAGTGATGTGAAGAGGATGAAGTCGTGGTGCCTGTGTGTCTTCTGTGCACGTACGTGAGCAGATGTTCTTGCAGGTTGACAGATGTTGTCTTGCCTTTCAGAGCCCAGCCCAGTTCTTGATCTCAAGGCGGACTATGTTGGTGTGACTTCAGTCAACTTATCATGGGCAGTGAACGACACTGCTTCTGACTCCTACACGTACAGGATAGAGGTTGTAAGTGACGCCTCTGCTAGGAACCTGACGTCCACTGTCACCGAAGCTGAAATCACAGAGTTAGTCCCTGGGACGATGTATGATTTCACAGTGTTTGCAATAGTGAATGGCAGTCAGGCAGCAGAAGGAGTGTCCATAAGCCTGTATACAAGTAAGTCACAGTTTCTTGCAGCCCTGTTCCTGGTGGTCTGTATTTTGCTGTGCAGCACAAGGCTCTGCCAGCCTGCCTGAGGGCTGAAATAACAGTATTTTTTCAGGCAGAAGTGCTGCATGCAGCCTGCCTGCAGTCAGCAATGTTAATGTGTGGAAGAGGGCTCTGTATGTGTGGTGTGGGGTTGTTGCCTTCACTCTTTGCGGATGAGGCCCTCAAGTCCTTATTTCTAAGGGCTCCCACAGAGAGGGAAATGCCTTGGAAATGTCACCCTTTGGAGTGGCCTGTGGCTGCAGCTGGGCTTTGGGCAGCATTGTGCTGTGTAGCTCTTGGCCAACACTGCTCTGCTCAGCTTAACAGCTGAGAAGAGAAGGTTGAGGTACTCCTGTGTTCCTCGTGCTAGGCACTGTGAGCATTTTTGCCCTTTACTGCGAATATGAGCTGCTGTGTCATTTCCTCTGTTTTGTTCCATTTTGTCTGAGGTGCGCTCCTCAGGACACTTTCTAGATGTGCTCCAGGATGAAGCTGTTAAGAGTCTCTGTACTGTGAAAGTGCTGCTTGGCTACTCCTAATGCTTAATCAGATCAAAACATGGAAGTGTGGCTGTGCCTCTGCTTCTTCTGTCTCTGTCAGCAAATATTTGTGAGTGCTGAAGAGTCTCATCTTGACTTTCACAGAGCCCAGCTCCATTTTCCATATCCAGGCGGAGTGTGCTGGTCTCTGATTTTTGCCATGGAGCACAGATGGTACTACCTCTCACTACACCTGCAGGACAGACATCCAAAGTTGTGGTTTCTCTTCTAGAAACTAGACATCCAGTATCACCAGAGCTGTTTACAGACATAAACTGTGGAACCTTCTAGAATTTCATCTTATTTGTAGGAGTAGCTGACAGTGTTACTGAAGGAAAAGAAGTATTTATAAAATGCAGTAGAAATAAGTCCCAGTCATTCACATTTGTCATTTAACTAAATCAGTTTCCTCTGGTACTCTATTCTACCTTTCTATAGTTTCTTAAAATAATACCTCTTCTTAATAAAGAAATAACTTAATCCATGGGCCTTTTACCCCTGTATTTGGAAGTGCCAAATACTTCTTTATCAAGAGAGGAAATAAATTTGCTGTGTGTTACAATTGTAGAAGCTATAAGCGTTTTGGTCTTGAAGGCCAAGTTTTAGAAGATATTTAGTTTAGAGGGACCTTTCTTCTTGGTGTTACTGTTACATTAGCTTTTTTAATACCTTTTTCTATACGGTCATAAGGATGGAGCTTTAATAGTGTACTATAGGACTGTCACACAGACTGGAATGTTGTAGTTGCTGCTCTTAAGGATGGCTACTCCTGTGCTCTTAATGCACAGAGCTTATATTCATTGTATTTGTTGGCACCTCAGTTTTAATTATACAGTAAGTTAGTGTCAATTTACATACTACTCTAAAAATGTTCTTTGAGTGCTATGTTCAGTGTCTGAACAGTATTTTGAAAACTTTGCTCATCTTGACAGATACTCTACTTAAATTTTCTCAGTAAACCTGTCTGCAGAGGAGTTAGAGAGCACAGAAGAGGTCAGCGTACTTAGTGTGCTAAATACTTCTCTTCCTTATAGGGTAACAAGTCCTTGTATGCAGTAGCTTTGTCTTTTTAAAAGGAATACTGAAGTTTTACAAACATTTATACACAGAACTTAAATACAGACAGCTTTTTCTATTTACTCAGTACTTGACTTCTTACTCCTCTTGAGTGTTTTGGGTTTTGTTTTCTTTTTTCAACAGTTCCTGCCTTAGTAAATTCATTTCAGTGTGAACCAGTGCTCAAGGAGTCTTCTCTAATGCTGAAGTGGGAATGTCCTCCTGGTAACAATTCTGGCTTCAAAATTAAAATATTTAACGATACATGGGAAAAAGAAGAATGGGCTCCATCCTGCATGGGAGAAGGCTCAGCAGAAACCTTCACAACAACATCTTTAGATTATTTCAGCACCTATACTGTTACTATTGCAACTCTTTCAAGTGCTTCTGAAAGTGATCCAGTGCAGAAAATGTGTAATACAAGCATTACTGGTAAGCATTAAGATTTGAGAACTAAAGATGTTCACAGGACTAAAATGTTAACTTCATGATTGCAGAACAGCAAACTTGAATGCAGTACGTTATCATCCTACATGTTATGCATAAAATAGAACGTTCATGCAAAGTCTAATGTGACGCACAATAAATATGCATTGTATGAATAGCATCAGTGTTACAGCATTTTACTGGTTAGAAAACTCTTCTTTACCAGTCAGGTACTAAAACATATTTCTGTTTATAGATCCACCTGCTCCAAGCAGAGGTCCTTTAGTCAAGGCAGTCAGTCACAACTCGTTGGCTGTAGAATTCTCTGCCTTTGAGTCAGTGAATGGGCCATTAAAAGCCTATGCAGTAATGATCACAACAGAAGAACAAGGTAAGATGTTATGATGTTATCTTGTAGTTTTGTGAAATAATTTATCAGCATTATGTTTTAAACTCTAAACAGGTGTTAAATGGATAGAGGAAAAGCTGACTCACTATTTCCAGTCACCTTTCAAAACTCATGAGGCAAATACCTTGCTTGCTTTAAGCCAGATCATTCCTTGTTTTCAGAAAGCCACTGTTTTCATTCAGCCTTTTCCACCCTGACTTATCCTTGTATAAAAGTCTCATATGTATCGCCACTGTGCTGTTGCCATCTTGATATTTGCTAGTGATTCCTGCCACAAGATTGCGTAGTAGCCCATTTTTTCCACAGAGAATAATTTTCACAGCGACTAATATAAGCAGCTTTGGAATGTGGAATGCTTTTCCCCCTCCCTTCTTCAGCTGTAAGGTATCTGCAATAAGAAAAAAAAGAGGAAGAGAGAAGAGAGCTTTCCTTCCTTCATTTTGCTTAAAATACTTTAACAACTTGAGAGAAATAGGGTACAGATGGAAGGCTTGAATAGCATTCTCAGCATTACATGTCATGGGAAGCTGAACACCACGAAAGCTAGAGGGTGGTGTATCAAACTCACATCTTTAAAGCATCAGAACAGAGATACATCTTTAATTGGTGAATGTCCAGTGATAAATTATGAAGTTAAGGAACTTACCTTTGCAGTGTAGGTTCCAGTTGAATTTCATTTTATTTCTGCCAGTGCACTGGAGGAATAGAGCAGCTCATGGAGATAGTTTTCCCCAGGCAAGATCTGATATTCATGGTTATCCTTTGTCTTAACACTGGAAATTCATCTTGCAGCAGTTAGACTGTGGATCTTTCTTCTGTGGTTTTCCATACATATACAACCAAGAAATGCCCATATATATGTAGTACACCAGTGCAGAAAATTCCTGGCTTTCATGTGCCTACTGTGCTGCCCTGGAGTTGTTGATTTGACTGTCAGTCTTTTGCATGCAGTAACAGCTCTGCTTGTACCTTCAGCCAGTCCAGTTTTGTCATGATGAGAGTCAGTACATTCTTCTATGTGGTTTTGATTGCAAGGTTTTCAAGATATGACTGACAGAAAGAAGGAAAGAAGATCACCTGTATTTATAATATAGAGTCTGAGTACTTCAATAGGAGCAGAAAACTATCCTTACAGCCAAACATCACTTCTGCTTTATAGTGTTGAAATAGCATTAATATGATTGAGATGTGTTTCTCTCTCTTAAAACAGACATCATTTCCTTTAGGATAGACAGAGGGGACTTTCTTCAGTTGTGTAAGCAATGGTGTCTAAGGCTGTTTGAGATGTCCAAGGGTGATACCCAAGATATCCTCAAGGAGCTGCAGATATAACCTGGGTTTTACATCAGTTTGGAATGGAAGATAGGGATCAGACAGATATATAATGTATCTCAGATAGTACTGAACACCCATTTCTAGGCAACCAAATTAATTGCAACCGCAGCTGCTTTTAACATAACTGATTTAGTGCTTTAGAAGAGCTGTCTTGCACCCTGTTCCTGCACAGTTACAAGCTGGTGAGAGCTTTGCTACTGGTGACAGTGAGCCACCAGCTCACTGATGGCAGATCAAATCTTGTCTTCACAACTGTAGAAAACTTGCTAGAGCTTTTCCATTTTTCAGAGCTTGTGCAAGGCTTCTTTTTAAAGGTGAATTCAAGACTATATCTGCTTTTAGAAGGAGCTTTTAGCTTTGCAAAGGGAGTCAATAGAGAACAATTTATGCAAACTTCAGTCAAACGAGAAAGATTCTTCTTCCTCTTGCAATACTTTGAATACATAACATCAGTTTGCTTGCTCTTGAGTTGTTGGACAACTGGTAATTTGAGCTTCTTTATTACCTCTTAGGTTGTGTGTGCCTCAACTGTATAATCTGTCTCAAGTTCGGATGGTTTGATGGGGTTTTGAGGAACTTGGTCTCATGGAAGGTGTCTCTGCCCATGGCAGGGGGGTTGGTACTGGATCTTTGAGGTCCCTTCCAAACCAAACTATTCTTTGATTCTATGAAGTTTCTAGGGTTCATCTTCTAACAAAAGACACTGTAAAGCGATGCTCTTCTGCAGGTGGTGTCCTGTTGGTCACCGACTGCGATAGTCCATTCTTACTAATTTTCTGGAAGTGAAACTTCTGGTCATGGTTTTGTCCAATGCTTGTCTGTGTCAAGAAAAGGCAGAATTTAACTCCTTGGTCTCCTGCAGTTTGAGTGTGTTACTTCTTGTAAGACACAGCAAGGAAGTATAGGCCAGCATGAGTTTAGTGTCACCCTGAATGAGGTTTGATGCTGTTTGGGTAGCACAACATTACCAAATACCAGTTTGCATCATACTCTCTGCATGTGATAGTTGATAGATTGCGTATGGATATGATTGACTTACCCAGTGAAGGGTGTCCAGGGGGACATCAAAATCAACTGCTAATGTATCTTTACAGAGAAGCTCCACTACACATGGTAGAAATAAAATCAAAAGGAGATTAAAACAACTAATGCTGGGGAGTAGGGAGGTAGTTCAGTAAACAGCACTGCAGCAGAAGAGATTCAAGATTGTTGCATTCAGCTTTTGTTTCAGGCAGCATTTATGGAGTAATGATAATTGTGATGAATGTGACCATCTCACCACTGTGACGATTGGTAAAAAATCAGTGGATGGTGTACACCACATATATCCTTGTTTTTTTTCTGAAGGTTGTGGGTCTTTGAAGTCCAAATTGAACAATACATACGAAGATTTCAAGAAGAAGATCACAGTCACCTACGTAACATATGTTGTAGCTACAGAGCAGCCAAAATCACCTTTTCGTTCTCAGAATGAAACATTAAATGTTAACGTGGGCAATGGAGACAAACTGCAGGGCTACAAAAATGGACCACTGATTCCACTTCGTTCATACAGGTATTGATTTCAAAACACTGTTTGGCAAACTTTTTTTTGTGGTTGAAATCTAAAAGATTATCTTAAGAAAAAAATTACAGATCTTGCTTAAGGTTGTTAAAACCATGCAGTGTACTACTTTTTTATTTCTTCTCCCTTATCAACAGGGCAAGTGTTGCAGGTTTCACTAACATAACCTTTAATATGGACGGCATCATTGTGGCAGAAGATAGTTATGTATCATTTTCACCCTGTTCTGAGGCAGTTTTGCTACCGCAGGATCCAGGTATAGTTAATGTCAAGTATAGGACTGGCAGCTTGGCACATGCCCACTGTGTGGAGATTCCTTAGTTATGGCGAGTTTCATAACAACAAAATGCCTGCTGGTTTCTCTGTGATGGACTGTTTCCATCCAGCTTCGCAGTGACGATTTACTTTGCTTGGTAAATTCACACCTTGCTAGTTCTGTGAGTGACTTCTTTTTTCCATGTATGCCTTCCACTGTGAAAGTAACCAAAAGCTGTGCTACTCATGGCATGCTAAAAGGGACTGGATGCCACAGTGAGACTTCGGTACAGAAACAAGTAGCAAAAAGCAGCTTATGTCCTAACAGTTCTGGTAAATTAACAGCAGATGCATTGGAATGGAAATACTGGTCCTTTGATCCCAATTTTTTATTAATTTGTCACCCTTGGTTTGTTATTCTTCATGAGCTTTCAATACTGGTACTGCCAAAGGACACAGTAAGAAAAGACATTTAGTGGGGTATGCTCTGTCACTTGCGAGGTTCTCTTGTATTATGTTGATTGAGTTAGATCATTGCCAGAAAGGTAAATCAATAATGAGTAACACTTGTTCTCTCCTATCAGGTGTTATTGCTGGAGCCATTATTGGATGCCTTGTAGCTATATTGGCTGTAGTCACTATAGGGGGTTTCATATTCTGGAGAAGGAGAAGGTAATAAGTGTCTGTTACTGTATTAGTTGTGATGAGGAACACCAGTATTTCACTTCTGTATATTTCTTCTAAAAAGGCCTCTCTGTTTAAAATACAGAATGTATTTTAAAGACATGCTTTGAAATACCTTTGTTTTAAAATCTTGTTTGCATGTTACAGATTAGAGTTGATGTATCAGACTAGTTAAATGACTTTGTTCAACCCCATAGTTACAAACTAATGAGTTAAGATTTGTTTTGTTTTTCTCTTTTGAATTCATTTATGCTGATGAAGTAATTCAGGCAGAAGTGAGCAAGCATCACAAGTTATTGTGCTAAAAGACATATATAATTATATCTTAAGTGGTTTTATTTTAAGTCACCCATTAATCACACTTATTAATTGCTTGATGGCCTGTCACATAAAACTTCCATTCTGGAGTTCCCAGAAGCTGATGGGTTGCCTAGGCTTTGGGCTGGGGTCTCAATCTCCAATCTTTTCCAAATAATCTAGGACCTAAGAATCCCTAAAGGGTTTTTCCTGCTTCTGATCATGTGGGGCATCCTCTCCAAAGAGTTAGCTCTAGGACCCTTAGTCCAGTTTTCTTAGTTTCTCTGATGAGCTGCTATTTTTACAATTGTGTCTAATAACTGTGGATGATAATGACAAGAGCTTCCTTTAAAGCTGGAAGTACTTATTTTCATTCAGCTACCACTTTCAGTACCACTGACACATCGCCATTGAACTCTTAATGTAGAGATCCTGGGATTAGTAGCAATTCTCCTGAGATGTTAGCTAGCAATGCAGGTCCCTCAGATGTACTTTTTCCACCAAACTGTGCTTTTTGTTCTGTACTATGAATTGTACTCTGGTCCCAGCTGAAAGAAACAGTCCAAACATCACTGGAGGAAGGATGAAGTATTTTAGTCCTACTCCAGGTGTAAGGTTTGCCCTGAGAGGGTTTTCTTTTCCACCGAATGAGATGCTTTAAAAGAAATTGTTCTGAACAGGCACAGGAAATAGCTGTCATCAGGAATCTCATCTGCATTCCATTAAATTCTGCTGTGAACCTATTGTGTCGTTTTCTTTTGCCTTATAGGAAAGATAAAAGAAATACCGAGGTGTCCTTTTCTCCAATTAAGTAAGTCCTTGTCCTTTCACACATTGTTTTCTGAACTCAAGTGATATTTGCAAAACTTGCTCTGAACCCTGATACTCATTTTCTGTGTGGTTTTATATAGAATTTTGCAGTATTAATTCCTTGTGGAATTTAAAGGCTCCAGCCTGCAGACTAAAAATAATCATATTGATCGAGACTTCTAGAGCTGCCACAGAGCTTTGAGTGCTTGCTTCATGAATCACCACTAGACACAGAAATGCTCCTATTAGTTTTGAAAAACAGGATGTTTGAATGAAATACAGACTTTGTGCACACTGAGGAAACAATTCAGATCGTTGAGAAAGGGCAAAATTCTGCACCACGGCCTGAATTTTCCTTTGTTTTATGACTCCTTTGTGCTGAGCCATTAGTTCAGATAATGTTGAGATTGTGAAAGCTGACTGTGGGAGGGTAACCACAATATATTGGAAGTCACAGGCAGTGTGGTCGAATCACATTATTGGTGCTGGTGGAAAGGCATAGTTGGAGCATCCCATAAAGTCCCACCTGTGTAGACTTTGCTAGTTCACGTAAAATACACCAGGGAATAGGGCTGATCTGATGGGAGTGCAGAAGCAGCTGATTGAAACCTGCTGTGATAACCTTCTCCTGAAGGATGTGCTATTCTTTCCATGGTTTAACAGATCAGTCAAATGCTGTGCCTGATATCCTGTCCCCTTCAAACGCAGTTTTGTGGCTGCTACTAACAGTCATGCTTTCATTCTTAGATTCACATAGTGAAAACCACAGCTGCATGTGTCTAATCAACCTTTTTTTCTTCCCCCCACCCTTCCCTGAAGAGTCAAGAAGTAAGTAAAGCGCACTTTCTAACACATTAACTGAATTCATGGCTTATTTACTTAGTACCAGTTACCAATTACATGGCTTTTCTCATTTTAGATCAAAGATGATTAAAGTGGAGAACTTTGAGTCCTACTTTAAGAAGCAGCAAGCTGACTCCAATTGTGGTTTTGCTGAAGAATATGAGGTATGTGCCCTCAGTAGAGAGCACTTCATGACGAATATTTTTGGAAAGGCAGCTCAGCTTTCTTATGGAGCATATGTGAGGCTTACTGAAGAGAAGGGATCTTTATTACAGAGTTTATTAAGATGCATGTACAGCCTTCCCTCATGCAGCTCCAAATTTAGTGGAAGTGCATGACAAATACTTCACATCGTGAACTATTATCTTTACCTGTGAGCTTACAGCATGGCCTCCTGGTTCAAGCTCTTGCCAGAGACAGGGTCTTTTGAGCCCTTGCCCTAGTCACACACCACAGCCACACACACAAAGCTATTTCACCTCTGCACTTTGGGGTTTTTTTTAATCTTGTTTTTGTTTTTCTACACAGCAAGACACATTTCTTGCTAATGTCATTGACTTCTTTAGTGTGTAGGTGTGATTTGCAAACCACACCTGTGGAATAGCTTGAAGGAGCAGTTAGAGAAACAGCAATTATGGTTTGTTAAGTGACCATAGATGTGATGTTCTGTGAAGTGTGCTAAAGCTCAATTGTTATAAGGTGCAAAAGACAGGAATCAAGTGTCAGTGAGGATTCTGTGTTGTCATGTTTGCCGTGAAAGAGTCTCTCTGTTTTTAAATTTGGTTGGTTGGTTTGTTTGTTTGTTTCCATCTCCTTGAAGCTATTAATTGACTTCCTTCTTCTTTCCAGATCAATTCCGTCCCTTTGATTTTGCTTTGCAGGCTGGTGCTCCACCTTGCCTTCCTCTCAGATTTTGCTTCCTGCAGTCCTTTTCTGATGTACTTGGTCCCTTTCTCCCTGTAATGTCTGCAAACTTATGCTAAGTAGTTCCCTGTCTTGGGGTCGGAATGAGAGTGCCCTTGATGCCAGTGTCCTGTGTTTCTGCAAAACTGTTTCTGGGCTTTTAAAGCCCATCTCTGGGTTTTAAACATGCTACTATTCCTACATTCTGCATTAATCCTTTATCTATCTCTTTGCCACTGTCGCTGATCTGTATCTTCGTTTTTCCCATTTACCATGCCTGCTTTTACAGCAAAGGCTGAAAGTGTTTGGAGTATTTGTCTTTCAGTCAAGTGTTTCTGTATAATTCCTAAACCAGGACCCAGGGGCTCATGAATCCTCCTTTCATTGCAGGAACTCAAGTCTGTTGGTGTTCATCAGCCCAAATTTGCCGCTGAACTTCCTGAGAACAGGGGAAAAAATAGATACAACAACGTCTTACCGTGTGAGTTACTCTCTTTGGTTTTGCATCTGCTACTGGTTGAGGTTTTAGATGGAAAACCTTGGGTTAGTATAAGCAAACCCAAAGAGCTTTCCCTGAAGAAAGCTCCTTAAAGAACTTTCCTGTAGTTAAATAATTTTAATTTTCCATTTGTGAGAAACTTGCAGTCCAGATTGAAAAAGAGGTTAACTGTTGACTACGGACAGATAGATGTGCAGAGCTTTGCCAAATACTAAGGCCCAGCTGCCCAGCTTTGCAGGTGAACTGAGAATGTAAACCCAGCCGGGCTGTCTGCAGGCATCCCAGCCTAGCTGAGTGTAAGGAGGAATTGGAAGCAAACAGTGGTGGGTATGTAGGAATGCTTTGGAGGGAAAACATCAGCTGCAATGGCAGCAGGAGATAAATTACCTATTTTTCTCTAGTAATTAAAACTGTAGTAAATTCCATGTTGGATTGAAAATATATAAATATGCAAAACCAAACCATGTTTAAAAAATAAGAAAATCTGTGTTGAGTAGTCTCAATCTTTATCTTGGCCACTAATTTTTTGGAAGACTTTCATGATAAAAATTCTAAGCTACTGCTACTTATGAAACCATGCATTAGATAAGCAGTATTTTGCTGAAAGGTTCTAGTTCTAAAATTCATAATTTTCTTTTTTTCTTTCTGCAGATGATATTTCTCGTGTTAAACTTTCAGATCAGAGCTCTGCATCTGATGATTATATTAATGCAAACTATATGCCTGTAAGTTGCTTCATGAGTTGAAATGAAATATAATATGTAATTTTACAATGTAGCCTCAACAGCTCATAATGATGTCTTAAATCCACTTTTTATGCCTCTGCATGTGTGTGTATATCTTTTACTTTTTTTTTTTTTTTTTCTTTCTTAGGGGTATAACTCAAAGAAGGCATTTATTGCTGCACAGGGTCCTCTACCCAATACTATAGAAGACTTCTGGTCCATGATTTGGGAAAAGAATATCTACTCTATTGTTATGTTGACAAAATGTGTTGAACAAGCCCGGGTATGTTTTTATTAAAACTGAACTGTCTCTTGAAGACAGTTGTATCTCTTCTAATTTTTTTGTTACCCTAGGAGGTTGGAGACTGAACACTTTTAACAACCATCCGCTTACTGGGTGGCTGATTTCTAAATTAAATAAGCCAAATTTAAAATTTTTAGGTTTTTCCCATTTTAATATGTGCTGACTACCAGAATAGATTGTCTCAGGAGGGTTGTGGAATTGCCATCTTTAAGGGCTGATTCTTCTTCCTAAAGAATGATTTTGAGAGCACTTTTCCTGCTCTGGGCCAGGCTACTGGGAAGGGTGGTGTGCTTTCTAGCCCTGCTTCAGGTGGTGTCATTCACAACCAACATTGCTGTGTGTAATGTGCCTAACCTTGTAATTCTCTTCTTAGACAAAATGTGAGCAATACTGGCCAGACAAACAGCCCAAGAGCTATGGTGACATCACTGTGACAATGGTCTCGGAGGTCGTCCTTCCAGAATGGACAATAAGGGACTTCACTGTAGAAAAGGTGAGTACCACCTCAGTTGCTGTTAGTAAAGTATCTGTAGGTATGGTTTATCGTATCACTGCAACTTCACATGTCAAGCAGCACTGGAGTGAAAGAATACAGTAATTTCCCTAAAACTTAAACAAATTCAAAGTTATCTGAGGGAAAAGAGTAAGAGTGGTTTATTTTAATTTGAGGCTTTGAATATATTGGTCTGCTTTCTGCCAACAGTCTGATTTTAAAATCTTTCACCCTACTTACTGACAACGAGATTCCTGTGATGTGCATGCATTTGGTCATAAGCCCTGGCTTCTCACAACAGTGTTTTAGTAACAAATCCAGAGGTGGAATTGATTATCAGTAAGACCCTCCCAGTGGCAGAAAGGGATCTGCCAGCAAATCCAGCCTGCTCATGGGAATTCCTGATTGCCCCTTCAGTGATCCTGCAGCTTGTGTTTCCCTCAAACTTGTACCAAAACCTGTGCATACGCAGATACTTGTAGTATCTGCTGGATTGAAAACACTTAACTTCCTCTCAGCAATTGTAATGCAGCAGAGATGATCTCGGAGTAAAGTGAAAAGTGAAAGAAAACTATTTCAAAGGATTCTCTGCCAGAGCACAAGGAAGAAGGAAACTGAAATATCATAGATCAAATTACTGTGCAGTCTGTAACAGGCTTCTTTGCTGAACTTTGCCCAGTACGTATGTCAGGAAGCTCTAATATTGCTCCTCTGAAGCCAGTTTTCTTACTTTTTAACATGTGTTCCTCTAGTCCAACACAGCAGAGGGCCATACGGTGCGCCAGTTCCACTTCACCTCCTGGCCAGATCACGGAGTGCCAGAGACAACAGAGCTTCTCATCAACTTTAGACACCTTGTTCATGAGTACAGCAGTCAAAATCCAATTGAATCTCCTACTCTGGTGCACTGCAGGTAAGAAGAATGTGGTTGTGATAGACACACTTGTGTCTTGTGGCTTTTTTAAGAACAATTCTTCTTCAAAGTGATTTAAAAAAAAAAAAGAAAAAGAAAAATATGTGTCTGCTTAAGGACATGGGCTGTTTACCCTCCCAAATTAAAACCTTTGCCCTATGCTTCAGAAACATAGCAATGCTACTACATAGGTAGAAAAGTGCCTGACACACAACTTCATTAGAATAGACGCTCTCTCCTAGCCTGGAAAACTTAACTGAAATAGTTGCCTTTACAAGTGTTTTTATATGCAACCTTGTGCAAGTGCAAGATTGGGAAGCCTGGAAGCATGTCCTCCCTCCCTCTTGACGGTGGTAAGAACTACCCCTCTGGGCTGCAGAGATTTTTAATACCTGTGCCACTGAAATAACAGAAACCATCTTACTGCCTTGCTGGCTTTTTATCGGGCCACCATTGAGCAGGTGGTTGTGAGAAAGCAGTAAATGGCTTCCCCATGTCATTGCAGCGCTGGTGTTGGGAGGACAGGGACATTCATTGCCATTGACCGCCTGATTCAGCAGATTGAAATGGAAAATATGGTGGATGTGTATGGAGTGGTGTATGATCTTCGCATGCACCGGCCTTTAATGGTGCAAACTGAGGTAAGGCTGTCTTCCATCCAGCAGCATGTTTTTCAGATGGGCCTAATAATCCAGGAAGGGTGGTCTCAAGATGTAGCTTAGAATTGCAGGAAGGTAAGATATTAAGGAGCAATCGGAAATTGCTCTTCACTGAACTTCCCTCTTTCCTGCCTCAGCTCTTCCCACAGAAGTAGTCACAGCCAGGGGCCATAGTAAGTCCAGGCAATCTCTTTACAGAGTGCTTTGTAGGACTGGTGTTTGCAACTGGAAAGATTCAAATCCTGAAAAATGGGGTGGTTTGGTTTTTTTTTGTTTTTTTTTTTTTTTCCCCCAGCTTGTTTTACTCTTGTGAGTTTTATCCTTACAGCTGTGAGCCACAACTATCTCGAGTCAGTGGTCTTGGTGTGCATCATTTCTTTTGTGTTCTGCAGGAACACACGTGTTCCTGGTGAAATTATCACTTTGATCCAAAAAGGTGTGTGGACTAATTCAGTGGATGTGAAAAAGGCTGTAAAAGCTCCATCATGAAAGTCTTTTAAGAGGGTGTTAGCCATGATGGTGAACTTGATTCTAGTTTTTTTACAGGGGGTTGATCAGATGACATCATGGCGTCCTTTCCAGCTCTATTTTTTATGAACTTCTATGTATGTGTGTGTGTGAGTGTATATGTGTATCTATATATATTTATTTATATGTGTATTTATGTATTTAAAAAAAATTATTTATATATTCAGGAGCAAAATTGCTTCCAAAATCAGGTATTTTCTAGAAATATATTACCTTCTCTTTTCCTTCCATTAGGACCAGTATGTCTTCCTAAACCAGTGTGTTATGGATATTATTAGATCTCTGAAAGACAGGAAAACCGATCTTATTTACCAAAACATGACAGCAATGGCAATCTATGAAAATGTCACACCTGGGGCAGGCTTCGGGAAGGCCAATGGCTACCACACATAGCCTGGGAGGAATGCGGTGTCTCCAGGAGGTGTTACCTGCGCAGAGGAAAGAGAGATGTTCTACTCATGTTCTCTGGGATTGTGTGCAGTGTCTTGTGTCTGGCTTCTCCAGTTCTGTCTACATTCGAAGATGTGATCTGCAGGAGGAAAAACACAATGCTGGCAGGAGCTGCAGATTGGTATTGAAAAAGACAAAAAACCAAGCAAAACTATTTAAAGTTAACAGAGGAATCTTGCTTTTTCTTGGGAATTTAACAGTACTGATAGGTGAAATAGCATTTGCAAAATGAACAGTGAACTAGAATTTAAATATTAAAATAATAACACAAGCTTTTTATTACAATTTTGTATGATTTCATTTACAGACACCAGGCTTGTGGGCTGTTTTAATATATTTAATTGTAAGTTTCAGGAACATATTTTATCTACTGTATCTGGTTACTTAGCTAATAGGTATGTGCCTCTGTGATTTTTTTTTTTTCTCTGTGTTCCTTTTTATTTAAAAAAGGAGTACAAACAGCTCCTTCAAATGGACATTTATACTTGGAAATTGTGCCTTTTCTAGTTGATACTCTAGAAAAAAAAAACAGCAGAGATTCTATTTTTGTACTGAAACTCTTGATGAGAACACAGATTTTTAAATAAGGCTTGTGTCAAACTTAACTGTAGTTGCACTGTTGGCAGGACTCTCCAGAAGTTTGGAGGTGAGCTTTGTTGTTGCATTTCACCACAAATATCCCCTGCCTTAATGTTTCGGTGCCTCTGCTAGAGGAAAAGGAGTGTGGTGTGTCACTCCCAGCTTTAACTATAGTAAAAAAACTGAGCAAGTGAATATGTGAATGTGTGTGCTGGGGTGCATGTGGGTGTGTATGAAGGACAGAATAGCTCCTCCCTGTTCCTGGCTGATGAATTCCTGTTTTTATACAATTTATAATGATTTATTTAAAGGTGCAATATATGATTTACTGAATAATGATCACTCTATTCTAATAGAGTTTTACTCAGGTTGGTGTCTTTTTATCATTGTTGTTGTTTTTCCTCAAATATATAAATCTGTGAAAATGTCAAAACCAAGGTTCCAAGTGTCCAAGCACTCCCGAACAGATTGACTGGCTTTACTGTTTCTACCAAAACAAATGGCACAAAATTCTGCTGTAGAGACCAATTTCTTGGTTGTTCTAGCCATTCAAAACTGAGACACATCTTACCTGCCTGTATCTCATTTATCTAATGTACTTGTATTATAATTATTTGCAATGTACTGCTGCTGTTGGTTTAACTGGTCCGTTTCTGAAAACAGATCAAGCAAGCAGAAAGCCCCTAGTCGCTGATTTTACGAGTCAAGGATCAGATGGGATTTAGTTTGCTGGTACCTAACTGTCAGACTTACGAAGGCATTGCCAATGAAGGACTTCTTGAGTAGCTTGGGGGGTGGGGGGTGTTTTTTGGTCTTCGGATCATTGCACTGGCTGCATTGCAGAGGAGTATGAAGTTTATGAATAATGCTATAGAATAGCTCTAAAGCGGTGAAAATCTTATGAAGGTTTAATAACCAGAGTCCCTGGAATTCTGCTGCTTTTTTGTTTTGTTTCATTTTGTTTTAGCAAAGTTGTTAGAAAAAGCTACAGATACTAGGAGTATATGTGGCATTAGTGGCACCTGGCGACCTCACAGAATCCACTGTCAGCTGAAGGAAAATGTAGGATTCCTGATGCACAAACTGTAACTTTACAGATAACCAGAGGAAAATTTTACAACCTGGTATGAAACTGTGGTGTGCTGTGTGTGAGCGAAACTGGAGGATAAACCACAGTGTACTTCAGCTTTGGTTTTGGGTTAGGTTTTGGTGGGTTTTGGTGGCTTTTTGGGGTTGTATTGTTTTTTGTTTTGTTTTTTTGTAGCAGCCATTTGTGGGTTTTTTGGTTTTTGTTTTTTTCCCTTTTCTTGAAACCCTTTAAAAAATAAATTTAAAAAACCCCAAACAAACCCCCAGCAAAACCACAAGGTTAATGATCCTGCCCAACTCCATCCAAACTGGCAGTCCACATAGTGGATCTCTCACCCAGCATTCTTCTTAAGCTGCTGTCAGATGACAAAGATAAACCACTTGGACCAAACAGAAGCATTCCAAAGGAACTGGGAGAGAGGAAAGTCTGCCCCTTATTTTTTTTCCTCTCTTAATCTTTCAGTTACTGCACATCTGTGCAGAGCACAGAGCCAGTATTCATTAATCCAGGTCACCCAAGAATTTGTTGCCTTAGGGTGGCGAATACTCTCTTGCTTCAGAAGGCCCTTGTGTATAGCACAGAAGAGAGGGAGATGAATCTCCTATGCTAGATTCATGTGTTTGCATTATATTACAGCAGGACATCAGAGAACCAGCTAGAATGGTGTGTGTTTCTGCCTAACCACTGCCCAGATACTCTTACAGAAAACCAATGTATCTGTCTCATTGTTTTGATGTTGGAAGCAGGCACCAGATTCTCACTTGTGTCATCATCTAATGAGTATCCATTTTTAATACAACTGTATACATGTGTTTTCTCAAAACTGACCCATTGTGAGAAGAGACTGAAGTTAGATGTAAATGACCTGCTGATCCCAGGTATAGCAGGAAAGTTGGTAAGGCTTAAAATGTTGGGAATCACAAAGGTGGCCATAGTGTTGGTGTGAATAAGCAGGATGTGCCTCATAGGATGTCTCAGCAGAAGGATTACAGGTAATGCTTTACTGCCTTGTGGATCTGTCTTGGTCAAGGTGACTTGAATTCCTGCAAATACTTTCTCCCTGCTATCTGATGTTCTCTGTATTGTAATTGCTGAGGTCTGTCTCTTTGGTCACTGTTTTCTCTCTCTGTTGCTTATCTAAAGCTACCCACTTTCCAGGCTGAAAGCCTCACTGTGTGGCAACTACATCTCCTGTGTTTCTGTTCTTCTCTCTTTCCCATTTGGGGCCTGCTTAAGAAGGGAAATGTTGATGTGTTTCAAATAAGTGACTGTCGAATATCTTGAAATGATGTACAAATTTTATTGTTTTCATATTTGTTGTACAGGAAATTTCAGCACATGTCTATAATGTTTTTAATGGTTTGATTTGTTTTTAAAGATATAAAAATAACAATTAAAATGCATCATCCTAGAGGACTTTCTGTGTCGTTTTTCCTTTCTCAGGGTTTTCTTTTCAGGTCATTTTGAATAAAATTAATTTGCCAAAATACCTACTTGTTGTAGAAGGGCTTTATAATATATAAGGAAAGTGGGCTCCCATCCCCTGGGGTGGCACCTGAGGCAGATGTGTATTACCATCACTGTGGCTCCGTTTGAGGGTGTTAATTTGTTCTTGGCGTGGTTTCTCTAAATGAAGAGCTTTGTACCAGTTAAGGAACAATACCTTCGTCCAAAGTCAATAAAAATATTTCCACTCAGTAAAATAGCCTTGGGGAAGGACCAGTGTTTCTGGGACTCATTTACTTCCAGAAAAGCAAGAGAGGACTATTTCATCCCTTGAAGGAGACTTTCTGTTGTTAGGGGGCATTGATAGAAGGGGGTGCAGAAATATCCTTGTAATGTTATAACTGGCTTCTTGATTACAGATTACCTGACTGTAGGTGCGTATCAGATTACCTCAGTTAAGCCACTTTCTTCTAAAATTCTTAGTTTCCATTCCTGGTTGCCATCTGAATTGCTCCCAAGGAGGATCACATGCCTGGGGGGGGGGTGATGCTGGCACTCAGCAGCTCTCCAGTTCATCATGGGGTGCTGACATTCTAACGTCTTGTGATCCTCCACATTAACTACTGTGGTTTTGGCAAAAACTGTGTGGTGAGATGGGATTGACTTCACCATCTTCCAGTGGGAGCAGGGGAAAAGCAGATTCTTTGGAACAATATTCTGGATGTAATGCTAGTGTATTTGTGAACAGAGTGCTCTTCAAACACTATGCCATGTCTTTGCCCTGGTTTCAATGCAAGGCAGGATGGGCAAGAAGATGTGTATCCTTTGAGAGATTTCTGGACACTTGTTTGCCTTGTTTTTTTTAGTCTGGCAGTTTTGCGCTGTGGTGATTCCAGGTGCTGGGAATGTCTTGTTGGAAAGAAAACGGGGTCTGTGATAAAGGCTGATCTAATGTTAGCCCTGATTAAGGTGTGTATGTACCCAAGAGATGACTGCTGTCTCTTCAGAAAAGAAATACAGCATGTTCGTTTCTGCTTTACACCTCCAGATGGCACGATACCACTGTTCATTCCGGGAAAGCTTTTCCGCCCAGCCTGCTCACTTTTTCATTTCCTTCACAGATCCCGATAACCTTTCTCCATTCCATCTGCTGTTTCCCTTTCCCCATGGTGTCGTTGCAAAGCCTGTCTCCTCAGCCCTGCCTGACATCCCCTCTGGCCCTGGCCCATGTCAGTGGTTCAATCCAAGGCTGTTGTGCTTGTGAAAGGCTGTCTGCCGCAGCTGTAGAGTGCTGTACGCCTGATCAGATGACTTTTCAGAAACTCTTAAGTTCAGCAGCAGCCTGGCAATGCCAAATAATCCTTTGCTTTCTTGGGAAGTGCTCTTATGCCTGAGCCTTGCTGATACCTAGACATTTTCTGATGGTGCATGTAGTCCAAGGTGCAAGGGCTCTGGCTGGGAGCAGCCTGGAGCTGGTTATTCAGCATTACTGGTTGTGTGCTCGTTTCCCATCTTACAGTCTGCTCCACAGCTGTTCTCAGCAATACCACATTTATAGGAGTACTGAACACAGCACAGATACATCAATAAAGACGGCAAACAGCAACGCGCTTGCTCATACTGCTCAATATGAATAACAGTTAAAAGGCTATTTCAGTTAATGGATCTGTTTATGTCTGTGTGTCTAACACTAACCATGATTCTTCTGTGCCTCTTTCTACATAGGTCTTTGGGGAGGTTTTAAATTCACCTTTTAAAGCATCCAGCAACATCTGCTGAGTTACTCGGGCTTCTTCCATCTCCAGCCTGAAATACAGCGAGATTTCAATGCAAAGCTCTAGTGACAGGTTTTGGTACAAGCACAGCTATAATGGAGATGGGTGTGTGAGGGAGCTTCAGCAAATGCTCTAATCTACTGGAAGATGTATCTACAACTACCCAGTTGCTTACAAACCCTTCTGTCTTTGAACAAGGAATAAAATGAGGAATAAATCAGAACTAGAAAAAACACTTCACATCCAAGCTTCCCACGCTCATC